CTTATGATATACTATGATATTTGGAATGCTATACACTGCAAAATTCACTTACATTTCCAAAGCAGATTGGATTTTAAGCCATTTTTCTTTGAAGTCACAGAAATATGAAGACATAAACAAACAAAACATAGTATTTTTCCACTACAAACTAGGACTAACAGAGAATTAGAAACCACCCAGTGACATAATCAATAGTTCTAGGAACTGTGGTAGTTTTTCTCCTCTAAGGAGCGTAGGAATTGTCCTCATCATGTAGAATAGTTATATCTATTTATCTATGTTTTCAGAGTGGGGGAACTGAAGGAAACCATTTCTCTTTATTGATAATACATTGTTGTATCATACAGTAAATCTTGATTATACTTTCCCTTCCCTGCACTCCTTCCAGTTCCTCCCCTGTCCTCCAGATCCACTCCATTTCTGTCTCTTATCAAAAGAGAAAAGGCTTCAAAGAGATAACGACCAAACTATACAAAACAAAACATATAAGATAAAGCAAAAATTATAATATGGAAATTGAACACAGCAACCTAACAGGAGAAAAAGAGTCCCAAGAACAGGCACACGAGTCAGAGACTCACTCTTTCTCACAGTCAGGAGTCACATAAAAATACTAGGCTAATAACTATATAGCTATAGCATATATGAAAAGGACCTGGTGTAGGCTCTGTGCTTACTACTTCAGTCTGTGAGACCATGGTGTCCTCCATCCTCTCTGACTCTTACTATCTTTCTGGCTCCTCTTCTTCAAGATTCCTTAAATCCTGAGGACAGGGATTTGATGGAGACCTCCAATTTAGACTCTCTCCACATAATGTCTGACACCATGTCTCTTCATCTGTGAAGGAAACTAATTCAACTCATAATAAACTTTCTAACCACCACTCTTACCAATCTGTATACAAGGACATAATGGCTAATGTTGACTGTCAACCTGACTGGCTTGAAAATCTATTCTCCTTTCTCTCTCTCTCTCTATCTCTCCCTCTTCCTCTCTCTCTTCCTAAACACCATGGTGTGAGTTGTTCTGCTGCTCTATGCTCTCCCTGACACAATGGACAGAACAGAAACCTCTAAGCCATGAGCCTATGTAAATCTGTCCTTCCTTAAATAGTTCTGTTCAGGTACTACATTAGAGCAATGTAAATTGCATATCATGCTGCCTATAATTGCCTGTAGATACTAGTGATGATCAGCTCTATCTCTTGTAACAGAATTCTGTCAGAAGAGGCAAGTGTCAAGCATGGGCAGCTACCATGCTGTTTTTCTCTCACACTACACAGCAAGTACAAGGCTAGTACAGTCTTGCTTCATGGCGTCTTTCTTCCAAGCACCAACCTTACAGAATCATCCACAGATTAGAGCCTTGCCTCTTGGAGCAAATTTAAAAATACGTAGACAACCAAGAGCTGGTATCTTAAAGATTCTGCTTAGGAAAAAGAAAGAAAGAACACTTCATTGCTGCTCACCTTTTGTGAACCAGAATAAGATACACATGACCAAGCTTAACATAAGTGAGGCAAGGAAGTACAAGCTTTCTCGTGGGAATAGACAGGAGCTATTGCTGACCAATAATGAAGCCTACATCAGGGGAATAATAAGATTACAATATACACCTCAATCCTCCAGAGCTTGGAGCTGAGTACACAATCACATTTTTAAGGGCACCAACAGTCCAGTTCTTGCTAAGTTTTAAAAAGAAAATGGTGTTTGCATTTTTGTAATCAGGGTGCATCCTTGGGCTGTCTTTTGTCCTCCACAGATGAAACCGTTGGGCGGCAACATTATTAATGTCCCCAGTGATGAGCATGGCATTATTCCAGAGGCTCTGGAAAAAATACTTTCTCAATGGAACCCAGAGGATTCCAAGGATACCACAAAAAAGGCACCAAAATTTCTTTATACCGTCCCAAATGGCAACAATCCTACAGGCTACTCATTGACAGGTGACCGCAAGAAGGAAATCTATGAGGTATTGACAAGAGAGTGACAAGCCTGTGTCCCAGCTTCTAGCTTACCATTTTTAGAGAGTCTCATTAAAGTTGCTTTTCTTATTAACTCCCCTGCCCCTTGATTTCAAGGAAGATGCTCTTTAATAAAACGGACTCATTCATCTATGCCAGAGTTCCTACTAAAGTGATACACAATAAATTGCCACATCTTCTGTTTCTGAAATTTATTTTGCCTTCATTGGTACTTTAATACTTGAAAACTCCTGTTCTCGGCCACCTGTTAGGAGGACACATTCGGTTCTCACTATGGGATGTTTGTGTTTGCACTGTGTTTTAGACTTTCTATGTCTATCTGCTACTCGTCATTCTGGGCTATAAAAAATTTAAAAAAAAAAACCAACAGGGAACTCTTTCTATCATCTCTTTAGCTATCTATGCTGCCTTGTATTTTTGCCATTTTTAATACAGAGTATGTAGAGCTATACATAAATGTGAAAAAATAGGATAAAAATTACTTTCTGTGAAGTCTTGCTGCTGTACTTAATTGAGTGTCTAACCTTTCCCTGCAAACTACTTTAAAAATAACTGTTAAGCCCCATTTAATTACATGGAACCTAACCATGTGCATTAGAATCACTGCCAGATTTCAACCAATTGTTTTTACCTGGAAAATATAAAGTTTCAAGATATTGCTTTGTTATTTATATACTATCTATACTTCCCTGAGTGCTCTCTCTCTCTCTCTCTCTCTCTCTCTCTCTCTCTGGAGTCTTGTGTTTTATCTACATATTCCCCTAAGATAGCATTATCCAGTTCCATGGTTATAAATTTCATTTGCATGAAATGATCTTGCTCAGCTCCATCTCTTCCCTGAACTCCAACTTGTCAATCATTGTGATATCTCCATAGATATCCAATAGCATTTCAAATATAACCTGCCCCAAATAGAACTGCTGGCTTTTCTCTAGCTCCAGCCCTAAGCCTCATAAATACAACCAACCCCTCCATGCTCTCTGGCCTCATAAATAATGTTCATGAACAATTACTTTTATTTCTCTGTATTTTCTTTTCTCCCCTCCTATACTCCATTCCTCCTGTGACTTCACCATCAAGCTCTTCTAAGTCCATCTTTTTCCTCCACCACTCCTCCTAGTCACACTTCCTAAGCCACTCTCTGTCCATACTGTATGACAGCATGACATCAGCACTCACCCTCTTGCATTCGGCTCCTAGTATCTAGTTGGCCACAGTTTGCATGTCAACCAGTCCTAGCCTCTGATGTAAGGTAAATGAAAAGTCAGCCATGTGGCTTTCCAAATTCTAAAGGTTAAATTTTGTTACAATTTTGTGAATATCATCACTCTCTTCTCTCTCTCTCTCTCTCTCTCTCTCTCTCTCTCCCTCTGTCTCTCTCTTATTTCTAACTGCATCCCATATGCCAAGGCCAAATTGTCCTCCTCTGTCTCTTACTCATGTCAAGTTTTTGTTCACCCGCACTATCTCTGCTTTCCCTCATACCTCAGTCTGAAATCCTCTTTCTTAACATTTGCATAACTAATTTATTCTGAACATTTTGAGTTCTAATGTTACCTTGTCAGGAAGAGCTCCTCAGAGGTTTGACCTGAGTAACTATCTGTCTTAGTTAGGATTACTATTGCTGATGAAACACCATGACCAAAGCAACTTGGGAAGCAGTCCATTTGACTTACACTTCCATATCACAGTTCTTCATCAAAAGAAATCAGGAGAGGAACTCAAGCACAGTAGGAACCCAGAGGCAGGAGCTGATGCAGAGGCCATAAAGGGGTGCTACTGGCTTGTTCCCTATGCTTTGCTCAGCTTGCATTTCAAAGAACCCAGGACCACCAGCCCAGGGATGGAACCACCCACACTGGGCTGGACACACCCCCATCAATCACTAATGAGGAAAATGCCTCTCAACTGGATCTTATGAAGGCATTTTTTTAGTTGAGGTTCCCTTCTTTCATATGATTCTAGTTTGTGTCCAATTGACATAAGGCTAGCCAGCACACTATCACTCTATTTCTATTTAATTCCTATTCATTAGCAACTTGCTTGTATAAGTTTCTGTCTTCCATGAGAAAAAGAACGTTCAGTAACTCATTCATCTCCAACCTCAGTGTTTAGGATAAAAAACTCAATAGTTCATGAATGAATGAATGAATGAGCACAAAGAACTGATTACAAATAATCTTCATCTTAGACAGCTCCTAAGAAATAAATATATGGCTTTAACCTTTTAGCTTGCAAGAAAATATGACTTCCTCATAATAGAAGATGATCCTTACTATTTTCTCCAGTTCAACAAGGTATGTGAAAATGTGGCCTTACATCACTGTCAAAGATCATCTGTTATACATTGTTATCTGCATTGGAAGCTGCATTGTGTCAAAGCTACCTGCTCTCACAATGAACTTGAGTAAGTGTTAGTGAGTTCTCTATAGTTTTTCAGTCTTCCGGTTTTGCCAGTTTTCTTTTTTGTATTAAGGTTCCTTCTAGAAATTACTTACCATTGGGATAGCAGCTAGTTCTCTGAAATGTGCATTTAGCAAGCAAAGCCAATTAGGTCGGTGGTGCTAAACTACAAATCCTACTTCATATTACCTCAGACATCAAATGAGGGACGTGGCATGGGGTCCATCTTCAATTTCAACTTCAGTCTGGGAATGGCAACTGACTAGAATGGTGGCTAAGGGGGAAATGAAATGTACTCAAGCTGAAGAGGAAGTGGGGCTGTGCCCAGGTCAGGCTCTCAATGGACAGAGAAGGCACTGCAACCACATAAGTGCATCCCGGTCAAATGCTCTGAACCTTATGTGGAGGATCGTGGGGTTTTAATGTCGTCCTCGCTATATGTGCGTGCTACATTCCATGATAATGGTTTTCTAGCCAGCAATAGTAGTGGTACAGGCTGTCAGTGCCAAAGCACTGTGTGTTCTCAGAACCATAGACATCCATCCTGTAATCGGATCTGGTTCCTCCCTTTGCATATACGGAGAAGACACAAAACTTCTTGCTTTGCTTTTGCAGAGCACCATTTGCCCTGCCTTCCTGCCCCGAGTGTGATAATGAACTCCTTTCTCACTTGACTCTACTTTCGATGAAAATCTTAGTGCAACATTAACTACATTTCTCACTTGCATTTGAATCAGTTTTTATGTTTCTAGTCAATTTCCAGGAATCACCATTGTAGCTGAATAACCTCAAATGGTGCTGGTCGTCTTGAAAGAATTTTTGTTGTTATTTTATCTGAAATAATTTCTTCTGAATTCTTCCTCTGAATCTAATAGCCTCAAATTTCAATCCCAGGTTGGGGGCAGGGAGTGGCAAAGAGGGCCTGTTTGAAGTTTCCCCAAATTCATAGTAATGACATCTTAAGCAAATCAGGAATCCTGTGTGAGCATATTTAGCAAAGAAACTCGGAGGTCAGGCAGGCATAAGGAAAGAACACACGGATTGCAGGTATTGGGGCCTAGACGAAGGTAAGACATACCTGCTGCATGTGTCCCTGTGCCTGTTTGCCTTTTCCACACTGTGCAAAGTAAACTTACAGTGATCAGAGTTTGAAAATCAACAGCGATTGTCTTCCTATTTCAGCCCTGGGCACCAACCTTTCTCTCTATGGATGTCGATGGGCGAGTGATTAGAGCTGACACCTTTTCAAAAGTTCTCTCCTCGGGGTAAGGCCCATGTCTATAACTTGATGCCAGCCTTAAATCCTTCAGTTCAAGAAATTCTCCCCACTTAAAGCTTGTATTTATTCCCTTTGCCTTAAAATGTCCATCAGTCCTGGAAGTGCTGTTATGTGCAGACCAATATATGGCAATGGCAAGTGGAGACATACAGGGTTCACCGGTTTCACGCATCTAGCTACAATAGTGAGCCCTCAGTTTTCCTGGATCTTTTCCTCAACAGCAAAGGCAGGCTACCCCTTAAACCCAGCCCTCACTCATTGGACGGAAAATCCAGATTCCTCTAGTCTTGTTAAATGTCCGACCACATTGCTATTCTACTTTGGAACAACTATTGCAATAAAGAGGATTTTCGTTTTGTAGTTTATTTGCTAGGCCAAGTTCTACAAATCTGCTTAACTATGATAGAAAATCAGAAAAAAATTAATCACTGTTATGCCCTATAGAAGCTCTTTACATATTCTAAAGAGGGCCTGTTTCAAGTTTCTCCAAATTCATAGTAATGACATCTTAAGCAAATCAGGAATCCTATGTGAGCATGTTTAGCAAAGAAACTCGGAGGTCAGGCAGACATAACAAAAGAACACACGGATTGCAGGTATTGGGGCCTAGACAAAGGTAAGACATACCTGCTGCATGTGTTCAGTCTATTTATTATCTGTTTATTCTAATAAACAGATTTTCCTCAAAAAAGTACTTGATCACTAATAGATATATGGGCATTTTATTCTCTTTATATATTTCTAATGTTCAAAGATGCTTGGCTATCAGTCTAAGTTGTAGGAGGATAATCAGCATTCTAGAAATATATATTAAAATGTCATATCTAGAAATTTTAATAGTATTTGCATTGTTTTTATCATATATATTTAAATTCAAATGCTTTTGAAGTAAGAAGTAAGTACTTCGATTAGAATATACAAGTCTTCAACATCTCTTTGCCTCAGGTCATCATTTTTCTAGTGAAATCAGCAAAATGATTCACAGTAGTTGTTTATGTGGGGTTGGAATAAAATCCTTTCTCCTTCTGTGCAGGCTGAGAGTAGGGTTTATGACTGGCCCTAAGTCCTTGATAGAGAGGATTGTTCTGCACACACAAGTTTCAACGTTACATCCCTGCACTCTCTCACAGGTAAGCCCAATTAGTGATTTTTTTTTTAATCAGAATCAGATGTAAGCAAATGAGATTAAATTAAATTGACAGGGGAAAAGCAATCAAACGCTGAAACTTCATTCCTAGACAGAATTAGTAGGCCAGCATCCGCAGAGGCTTAATCTAAGAAGCAAGTGAGAAATCGGTTAAGCTACCATGGCTGTGATGCCTGCCCAGAGTCCTCATGAACTGGGGTATACTCACTGGGAAGATGCTAAATGTCAGTCAGTTATTAAACATTTTTTCAAAAGAGAATCTGATGACGTAATTAAAACTTTGGCTTCATTGTGTTGGAATTTATAGTGATATAAAGAAATCAAGCCTTTTTAGTGCCTTCCGACCCATTTTTCGGCTACTCCTGAAGCCACTCATCAGAAAGCATTTTAATTAAAGTTAACAAATTCACTGTTTATTAGTAAATAAGTAGGAGGTTGAATAAACTTTCTCACGGGCTTTGAAAAAGTACTGTAATCTTGAGAATTAGGTCTTAGGTGTTTTCACATCGTGTTCATGTGTGGATGTGGGTGGGCATGCATTAAATTAAGGATGTCTTCCTTAATATCTCAGCATGTTACTTTTGGGGACAAAGCCTCTCGCTGAACCTGGAGCTCACCTATTTGGCTAGACTGGCCAGCAGTGACCTCCAAAAAGGAAAGAAAAAGAGAACATTTTGTGTGTTTTCAAATTTACAGATATAATCCAGTAGTCAATAGCATAAGTCTGGAGATAGAAAAATCTGTCTTTGAATCCAAGCTCTAGGATCAGTTGTTTGACATCAAGAAAATGAACCTTTGTCCTTTCATTTCCTTATCAGTACAACAGAACTACCATTCCTTAATTATGACGGTCCAAATAGACAGACCTATCAATATGTTACAGTGGAGCCTGGAATGTAAGAAAGCTCTGAGGGAGCTTTTGTTCTCTGGTTGTTTCTTTGCATTTGTTTTGTGTGTATGTGTGTGCTCATTTGTGTATTCACGAGGCCAGAGGTCAGCATCAGATGTCCTTTTCTTTCTTTCTTTTTTTTTTTAAACAACAAGGTCTCTCACTGAACCTGCAGCCTGCTTGCTAGCACTGAAGCTATAATGGATAGCATATGGGCAGCTTTCCTCAGGTCCCCATGCTTAGGCAGGAAGCAGCTGAGCCTGCCTGCTGTTGTTGTCCTGTCTTTTAACTGAGGTTTGTTGACATCACTGACAGGACCCAGACTGTTGGTTGCAGCTTTCTGTGTTTCCATAAGCAGAAGGGATCAGCTCCCATGTTTAGAAAGCACAACCTGGGTTTGGAGAGTGAACCATGACATTGTTGCTGTCTGTCTCTTTCAGTTCATGATATCACAGCTTTTATACCAATGGGGAGAAGAGGGCTTCCTGACCCATGTTGACAGGTATTGAGTCATTTGTTAAAACATTTTGTGAGCAAAATAGGAGCCCAGAATACAAAGTACACACCATTTACAGTAGTGATTTATAATTCTTCCTTCTTTTTTTTAAGATTTATTTATTTTTAGTTTGTGTGTATGGGTGTTTGCCTGTACAGATGTCTCTGTACTATGCACCCGGTATTTACATAGCCCAGAAGACGACACTGGATTCCCAGAACCAGAGTTACAGATTGTTGTGAACTAGCTAGGAGATGATTACAAGCTGTTGCATATACACTGAAAACCCAACCCCATTTTTCTGCCAATGTAGCAACTGTCCTCACTCACTGAGCCTTCTCTTTATCCCCTTTATTTTTCCTTCCTAAATGTGCAAAATCACACAAACAAAATAGTCATTTTGTTTTGGTTGCTTTTCACATAGAAAGTTTTCTCAGCAGCGTTCAAGTTCCAGCCTGAACTCTTGTCCACCCATACCACAGGTTAGGGTTTCCTGTTTTAGCTGAAAAAATTGTCCATACACAGAAACATTTTATTTGATAACCAACTAAGGACACAGGACATGGGAACTGATTAAAGTATGAATGAGTGAGAATATACTTTTCTTGTCAGTATAAGGAGACAAATCACAGATTTTTTTGTTATGTAAATGTGGTGTTTTCTGGGCCACTTAGAAACAAGCACAAACAGGGTCTCCTCTTTCCCAAACCAATGACTCAGCATTTCAATATAGTTTCCTTTAATCTCAAGTGTTCCCCTACTGAAAAAATGACAATTTCTCAGGTCAACTAAACACAAAGGTCAGTTATGCTACCTCTGCTACATCTAAATTCCATATTTTATGTAGAAATGAATTTTGCTCTATTAATTTTTAAACTATAATTTCTCTGTAATAAAGGCAGAAAGAAGTTTTCAAAAGCTTTTCTCCAAAGCTCTTCCCCATGCACGTTAAAGCAATGCAGTATTCTGTTGTAGAGCAGTTAATGTTTCAATCAAAGGAAAAACAAAAAGCAGGCTGGAGTCCAAAGCTTTACCTGTGTCTGTGGTCCTCCGTGTTATGATCTCAGCAATCTTTGTCATTGGCTTCTTCCAGGACTATTGATTTCTATAAGAACCAGAGGGATTTGATATTGGCAGCTGCAGAAAAGTGGTTAAGTGGTGAGTGGGGAGCATCTGGTGTTAATACAAACAGTAGCATGTCTAGAGCAGCGGTGGTCAGTCTTGGTATAGGAGAGACTGTCCTGTGAGTGGTTTCTTGCCTAGGAAAGGTTGCTCTACCGACAGTCTCACAAGTACCAAGTTATCAAACCTTGAGTTCTATCATCTCTGCCACCTGCTGCAAGGTGCTGTTTGTTTGTTTGTTTGTTTGTTTTGGGGTGTTTTTTTGGGGGGAGGGTTTGTTTGTTTGGTTTTTCTTTTAAGACAGAGTCTTTTGTAGCTCAGGCTGGCCTTGAACTTCTGATCCTCCTGCCTCCACTCCCCAAATGTTGAAATTGCAGAGATATACTACCACACCTAGTTTACGAGGTGCTGGCACCAGAACCTGGGTCGCCAGAATTCAAGGCAAGCACTCTACCAACTGAGCTATGGTGTCAACACCACAGTTTGTGGTTTTAAGAGAGAAAAAACTCATTCAAAAATTAACCAGCAATGTTACCTGCAGCTGAATAAAAGCCATCTTCAAAAATGTTCATAAGCTGTTAGTTTTTCAGAATTTTGCTCCCAAAATACTTTCTGTTTATAACGGAAAATAAATGTGAACAAGTAGTATAGTATAATTTAAAATATTTAAATTCGTTAACACAAAAGGATTTTCTTTGTTATTTTGAATTTAGGATGCTTTTTATTCTAAAATAAAGTCAGATAAATGACCCTGGTTTAATTATAGCATTAAAAATTATTTGATGGGAAGAGTATTAAGTAAAAAGTATCAACGCCTGTGACTGCCATATATCATACATCATTTTCTATAAAGTCTTGATTAAAAGCAGAATTATTTTCTGTATGACAAGAGTAATTTTCTACCACTTTGTGTAGGAGTGGTGACAAAAATATTTTTAAGCAATTAAAATCAAAATACTTATTCTTTTTCCTTAGTTTTTTGTTTGTTTGTTTGTTTTTTTCTATCATAATAGTCACACGTAAAGCTTGAAGAAGAATCTGGAATTCATGATTTCAGCACTTTTATTCTAATTAGTTAAATTTCTGTAGAAATTAATCCATCCGAGCATGCAAGCTATTACATAAATAGTAGGGTTTATGCAATCCAAGGAGACTCCAGAGGGATCGAAGAAGCAGCCTTAAAATTGGAAGGGGCTTGAGTGTGACTACCTGCATGAAGGAGGGGCACACCGAATGTCTTGCTCTTTCTGAAGGCTGACAGCTCTGAGTGCACACAGGAACTGCTGTCTCTAAGCTTCTTATCCCAACACTGATGGCTTTTTAAAGTGAACACAGAACATCAACTTGGGGGCCTTGTCAAGTCACATTTTGAGATACTTTCACTGAAACAAACTGGAAGTGCTGGTTTGTGATCATTGCACCTGTGTGGGGAACTGGAGCTCACCAGAGACATGCCTAGAACACGCTATCTTCTTTCCTTTGCAGGTCTGGCGGAGTGGCATGTCCCCAAAGCTGGCATGTTTCTGTGGATTAAAGTTAAGGGAATCTCTGACACAAAAGACCTGATTAAAAAAAAGGCTATTAAAAGAGAGGTAAACTCGGGAGGTGGGGTGGAGGTGATGGCCAAAGGAAAGTTTATACTATTTCTTTGAATTCATACTGACATCATACATCTTCTTAGCATCCACTTGCAGGCACTGAGTAAACTCAAAACTGAGTATAACTTTTCAGTTGATGGATTAAATTGTTCCTTCTCGCTATTCATCCCCTTATCCTGTTCATCAGGTTGTCTCTGTAAGCCCTGAGATCTGTTTCCCAGAATCACAGTCTACAGTCTAGACAGTAACTCTCAATGAACAGATTAGGTTGTCATTGGCAAGATCCCACGCAGGTACATTAGAAACAATTCCACACAGTTAGATCCAGAGACAGACTGCCCAGGTAAGATCAGATTTATTCTCTCTGACCATCTCATGAGAGGGCAAAATTCATGTTTTCCTCACTTTACTTCTCTTACTTATCTACTGTGTTGCTGCACACAGTAGGTACTTACTCCATACATGCACATAGCCTATTTCAAATTAATTTATTTCAATATAATTGGCTAATGTGAATATTTTCTTCAGTTTAATTATTTTATGTCAATGACATCATTATTAATAACTTTCGGTAAGTGGCTGTTTGAATGCATTAGTGAGCTAAGTGCTAAGGGTGGAGACTGATATAATGTCTACTTTTTCCAAAGCTCCGCATCATATGTCTATATGGATACATGCGTATGTACATGCATATACATACATATGGATGGATGGATCTGGTGTGGGCTTCTTAACTTATTCTAAATAGTCCCCAAGTATATTGCTAATACCTTAGCCCACGTTTTGACAACATCCTCCCTCTCTTACAGGTCTTTACTTCTAGTCTATCTCAAAACATTTTCACCTTATTGGGAGAAATGATGGCTTTCACATTTTTAAAATTGGGATAATGAAACCCATCTTCTACCTGAAATCTCCTATGTAGAGTACACCATATCATTTCAGACTAAACTCATCTTGTTTTAGCAATTAGTACCCAGATTTATAGATTGTAACAAAAACCAATTACTTAATGTTTTTGAGGATCAGTGGTAATTGCTATATAAATTATAAACTCTACATCTCAAGGCTTAAGATAATAGGATTTATTTCTGACTCACCTAAAAATTAAAATCATGACCTTGGGTCCTTCCATATTTGGCCTCCAGTCTTAATGTGTACTCTAAGATTGCTTCAAAATGGAAGAAGCTTACATCCATTACTTAAAATTAACTAATGTGGCCAATATAACTACAAAAAGGCTAGGAGTGCCAGGAGAGCAGAGTGCATGCTTAGACTGGGCAAGGTCCTGGTTTCAACCCCCAGAGTGAAAACAAGAAGGGAAAGAAGCAGGGAGAGAGGGAGAGGTATGAGGAAGAAAGAGAAGGAGGGAGGGAGGGAGGGAGGAAGGGAGGGTGGGAGGGAGGGAGGAGGGAAAGATGAAATGGAGATAAAGAGGCAAGAAGGACTAAAGTATACGTGTTTGTCTAGGATGAAGAGAAAATGAGTGTCAGCTCACTCAGCTGTCCGTACTAGCATAGTCATAAGAAAAGCAGTTTTCTGTTCTCCACACCCCATTTTGACTTACTTACTAACATTTCTATTCTTCTATTTTATGAATTAAACATTTGTATTCTTTCAGTTTCCATAAATGTAGCATTTTCTCCCTATTCCAGAACCTTTACATCATAACGTTTCTCTCTAAAATATTGCTCCCTACTCATTGTTAAGCCAATATCTAGTTGCCTTGTGAGTCCCAGTTAGAAATCTCAACGTTTGCATTCGTATTGCTTTTGTAGGTAGGCTGGCCACTTATTTGTGTTTACTGTTTCTTTCTAACCTGTCCTTTATACATTGAATCTTGGTGTTCTCTTCTCAGTTTTTATGTGGAGAAGAAATACCATTGGTCATGTTGATGGTAAATACTGCCCCTAATTCTTTGCACTCAGGTTTGTCTATCACATGCCATATGTATCTTATATGATTTTTCTATTTTCTATTGTGATTTCTTATTTCATGAATGGCTCTTAAGCTTAAAATATTTATCCCCACAGTAATACGAGATTGTCCTAAATTTTCTTTTAGTTTTTCTTCCGTGGTATAATCACTTATCTTCCACAACCTCTTACAGATCTTATTAGTTCCTGGAAATGCTTTCTTCATCGACAGCTCAGCTCCCACATCCTTCTTCAGAGCATCCTTCTCCCTGGTTACCCCAGAGCAGATGGATATAGTGAGTATCCTCTTTAGAGTCACACAGACTCCTAGCTCTGACTTTGGATGTGTGTGTTCACCTTGTAAGTTAGAAATGATTTCATTTCTTCCTACACTTCTAAAAGACAGACTTTGGGGAACCAGCCATGAGTTTAATACACATCTTCTTTTTGCTTTGTTGCTTGGCATCTGTAGGCAATTGAGACTAAACTGGAGTTAAAGTTTGTTGTCTTTGTAAGTGGCCAGAACTTATTGAAGAGCACTGGGGAGTTTCCAACAGGTTCTGGGGCAATATGTTTTTCTTCTTTCATTGAATCACATAAATGAATAGTAAAATCATAAGCCACGAGTTTATTCAGTTTCTCTGAAGAAAAAAAAGCACAGTGAGGATTAAAAATAGCCTGAGAACTGTGTGCAGAGAAACCCAAAAGGAAGAGCTACAAACCAAGCATTGCCTTTGACCTTCAGAGTGTGTGGATGTGTGCTCGGGGACAGACTCCTTGTGTATCTTTTCTTTACTTGCTTCTCATGCTTCTAATATGCTGTTCACAAGCTCATGTTGCTCTTACATGTGAAGAGATTTGAGCAGTCCTAACTATATAAGTTATGTTTTCAGAGGAGAGAAAATATGACAATGCAAGATACTTATACAGTGGACAAAATAAAAAATGATGCATGAATGTTCAAATTTAAAAAAAAAAATCTGGAAATATATAAGCCTGGTGTATACTTAGCCACATCTCAATGGCTCCTGAGGACATTCTGCTGGGACATGGCTGCTGTCAAACTTACTTTTCGCTGTCTCATCCCAACTTCAGGTTGATAGTCTATGTAAATCTTCAGAGCTACTATAGAGCTTTCCAAAACGATATGCTAATTTAATCAGTGCTTCTTTCCTTTCTGTTTTAGGCCTTCCAGAGATTGGCCCAAGTCATAAAAGAATCTTTATAAAGCATTCAAACTCAGCATCATACTCATAATTTTTAGATAAATTACTTCTGTACTTTGCTGAAGAAATGATTGTTGCTGTTTGACAGATGGAATGTATCCATTTCATAAAACATCTATAGCAACTTAACTGAACAAAGTCCCTTTAAACCCATCATATTGCCAAAATACTTTTTGATCTACTTTTGCCTTTTGATTAACTTTCAGCTCACAAAAGATTAAATTTTATTGCAAAGAACACTATAGCTGCTTTATAATGTCCAATGAAAAATTTCTTCTAAACTAACATGTTATACTGAATTATTTTCAAAATGCAAGGAGATTATTAAAATGGCACATAATATGCAGCTTTTTTCTGCTTTGAGGAAATTTCATGACCATTTATTGAAAAAGTTGTTCTAATTTGACAATTATAAATTACTTTGTAGCCTTACATGGTATTACAGAAATCTCTTTAAAATTAAAATTTTGAAGCTTAGCATATAAAAAAAGGAATCATACATGCTAATTCCAAGTAAAGAGGAGGAAATTGTGGTTTTAGAAAACTTTCCTTTTACACAACAAGGACATTTGCTCAACCATGTTCATAAAGTTCATGCAACTTTATTTATAATAGCCAGAACCTGGAAACAACCTAGATGTCCCTCAACAGAGGAATGGATACAGAAATTGTGGTACATTTACACAATGTAATACTACTCAGCAATTAAAAACAAGGAAATCATGAAATTTTCAGGCAAATGATGGGATCTAGAAAAGATCTTTCTGAGTGAGGTATCCCAGAAGGAGAAAGACACACATGGTATATACTCACTCATATAGTCCTATAAGATATGATAAACATAATGAAATGTATGCACTTAAAGAAGACAAACAAGAAAGAGAACCTGGGGTAAGATGATCAATCCTCACTCAGAAAAACAAATGGTATAGACGTTGGAAGAAGGAGAAAACAGGAAACAGGACAGGAGCCAACCACAGAGGGCCTATGAAAGACTCTACCCAGCAGTGTATCACAGCAAATGCTGAGACTCTTAACCAAACTTTGGGCAGAGTGCAGGGAATCCTATGAAAGAAGGGGAAGATGGTGGGACCTGGAGAGGACATAAGCTCCACAAGGAGAGCAACAGAACCAAAATATCTGGGCACAGGGGTCTTTTCTGAGACTGATACTCCAACCAAGGACCATTCATGGATATAACCTAGAACCCCTGCTCAGATATAGCCCATGGCAGCTCAGTGTCCAAGGGGGTACCCTAGTAAGGGGAACAGGGACTATCTCTGACATGAACTCAGTGGCTGGCTATTTGACCACCCCCTGAATAGGGAGCAGCCTTGCCAGGCCACAGAGCAGGACAATACAGCCAGTGCTGATGAGACCTGATAACTAAGGTTAGATGGAAGGGGAAGAAGACCTCTCTTATTGGTGGACTTGGAGAGGGGAATGGGAGGAGATGAGAGAGGGATGGTGGGATTGGGAGGGAATGAGAGAGAGGGCTACAGCAGGGATACAAAGTGAATAAACTGTAATTAATATAAAAATAAAAATTTAATTAAAAAAAGAAAACTTTACTTGTATTTTCATAGTGCTGCATGGTTAACAAAAGCACAATTTACAAATGCTTTACAGATGATTCCTCTTGCACCTTTGAGGTTTTACACTTTTTACTACTCTAGTTGGTGGTGGGACCGATGAGAATGGAGCCAATAAATAAGGCAGACTAAAGTCTCATGCAATAACCAACTTTACTCAGAGCATCAGACATGTTGTACTCTGAGAGTTAAGCGGAGTCACATGGGTAAATGGTATAATCGCGAGGGCAAGTCACACGAGATGGGCAAGCCACACACGGCAAAAACGTGTTTCTCCATAGAGGCATTATAAACAAATAACAAGAGCCGACTGTAATGAATAATCTGAGGTAAACTCACTCCTATTGGCTACACCTGGGAAGGGCACAAAAGCAAAATCTGAGAACTATTCTGTGTTTTTTAGGAAACTGAAGTCACAAGACTCTTGTCTTGTTTTCTTGTTTTTTTTTTTTTTTCCTCATAAGTACTCAGAATTCTCACATGACTCTATTTTTGGACCATGTTCCAACATCTCCCCCTGATTTACTTTTGGTAGCAGGATATCTAGAGCGGTTTTGATTTGAGATGTTGTAGATAAATCTAATTGTCATTTGGTGCATGAGTATCCTACAAGCAAACAGATTATAAGTGTAATAAATAATATTAGGACAGTGAAAGCAGTGTGTGTAATAGCCTGCCACCAAGAACAGGGAACCAAACTATGTCCAGCACTATTAGTTATATTATTTTCTTGATCAGAAAAATCTAGAGAATAGCTTGAAAAGAGATCCATAAAATTAGCAATCCAGGTGTCTAGTAGAACATAAGTCCATATTTGCCCCTTAATAGGAACACAAGTGTCATGATGCCCCATGCAAATGGAAAATGATTCAAATCCCAAGGAAAAAATTAAACCCAGTGCCTCCTTCAGATAGATGAATGAGTCTATCATGGTCCCAAGGACCATCATAAACACAGAGTCATTAGTAAAGGCAACAGGAGCTGGATCTAACCTACTAGCTGAAGTAAAGGAAGATGAGGATCAGAAGCCAATACATGTGTTCAGATCTATGGCAGATGCACAGGCCGAAGCAGCTAGCATCACCAGAAAAAGATTCTCAGGTGACATGGGGTTCTCTGGGCTTCATAAAATAAATTTTCTCTTGGTGCATAGGGCTTTAACTGGCCTCAGGCGGGCAGACTTGACTTCTGATGATATGGTCAATATGTTCTTTTGCCCTCTACTGGGAGTTTTGCTGTCTTTCTGGTGACTTCCGCTTTCTTCTCACCCTCCGCCATTGTCCTTGATGGCCCTGGGCTGGAGGGTCCAAAGAGGAATTCATAATATCTTGGTGGCTCTATCTGCAATGGCAGATGCACACCCAGTCTCAATTTTCTTCTGGGGGAACAAAAATAGGGCAGGGTGTTTATTTCTTAACCAGGGAGGTTAGAGTACACATGAGTATGAGTAATAAAAAAAAGTGTATGTTTGAATTTTAACCAGATGTTCTATTTAAGTGTTTATGAATTAACCAGAGTGATGAATCAAAATAGACATTTCTACACGTGGGTGTGAGGAAAAAGAAGTATTAACAGATTGGTGACTGTCTGAACCATGACTCCCTTCTATACCCTTAGATGAGCTATCCTCTTGTGCTATAATACCTGTAGGAGATAGTTTAGAGTAAATGAGTATGTTTAAAGGCAGTGAAGGGTCCACATGATACACAAGCGCTTCTTTTAGTGTGGATTCAAATAGCCATAGTTCTCTTCTTGCCTCTCAAGATAAAATGTGAGGACCGCCCAATGCTGTCTTTCCTTCTAGAGTTTCACAGAGATCAGTGCATTGCAAATACCAAGTGCAACTCATGAGGCCAGGTGGGAACTGGGAAATGAATTCGTTTACCCTACTCTGCCCTAGCTTGCCTAGGTTGTAAAGTAAGCTTTGTCATAGGCTCTCATAAGTCTGCACCAAAAGGTGGAGAGAATTCAAGATTAGACCGATTATCAGATCCTCAGCTCATGATTCGGGGTCTTTTTCAGGCAATGGAGGACACATAGCTAAAGGAGCTGAAAAAGTCATCATTGCTGTAATTATCTGTGGTGCTGATTTTACTTTCAATTTTTCCTGAAAGAGGAAAATATCTCTCTCTCTCTCTCTCTCTCTCTCTCTCTCTCTCTCACCTCTTTCACCAATTTTAAGGTTTGGTCATCCACCTTACATTCATTCAAGGAATTAGGCATCTTTTCTGCATTATTACAATCATCCTTTATATTCCACAAGTATTTTTATAACAGTCTAAATTAATGCCCAAGTGACCCAAAATCAAACAGGGATCTTTTCCCCTTGTTCATATGCCTTTTAAATATTCCTTCAGACTCATCCATACCTCTTCACCTAAGAAAGGGAATTATAATCTTAAACAACTTGCAAGCAATTTAGTAGTTGTGATTTTCATACTTGTGTTCCTCCTTTCTTTAAACATGATGTACAAGCCGAGCTTGAGGCAAAGCTCTTCCTGTTTTCTTCTGCCCCCTTAGTCTCACTCAAACCCTTCTTTAAGAGCTCCCACTCTTTGGTAGCTGACTTCAGGTCCCTATTTAGGCACCAACTGTTCACTGCTCCAGCTGGTGGTGGGGCCTAGAAGAATGGAGCAGAGGTGGACTAAAGACTCACACAATAGCCAACTTTATTCAGAACATCCAACGTTTTTTACTCTGAGAGTTAAGAAGACTCACATGAGAAAACTGTACAATCACAAGCACAAGCTGCACGTTGCAAAAACATGTTTTTCCATAGAGCCACATAAAGAAATAACAATTGCCAATTGTAACGAATAATGTAAAGTCACTTCTATCTGCCACACCTGGGAGGGGCACAAAAGCATAATCCAAGAACAATTCCGTGTTGTTTTTTTTTTTTTTTTTCTTCAAGAAACTAAAGTCACAAGACTCTTGTCTTGTTTTCTCGGAGTTCTCTTCCAAACCCCGAGACCTCTCCTCACATAAGTCTGTTCTTGTGTCCTTTGCCAACATTACATAATTTCAAAATAATTTCCTCACTTTTAAAATGTTTCTCTACCAAGCATTGTATGGTCTTAAATTTACAAGATTTTCAGGAAGGAATAAAATGAAGCCCACAAAGTATGTCATTCCCAGCAGTTACCAGAATCTATCACGTTTCATCCTGCACCTAAGTGAACAGGAGCATACTGAGGCACAAGTGCTCTGCACTCACTGAAGTGCTCTGTAACCACTGCACAAGTTACCCCAGATTTTCAAGAAGTGGAAACTTTAAAACAGTTTAAGATACCAGACGATTGAAAGATTTTCCCTGCTTGTGAACTAGCAGAGTTATTATGTAAAAAAGACTGTACTAAAGAAAGTAATGCACAAATTTGACACAATCTCCATAAAAATTTCAATGACATTCTTACAGAACTTAGAAAAAAACCAATTCATATGAAGCAGAACAGACTACAAGTGGTCAAAGCAATCCTAAGGAAAAAGCAATGCTGACACAGCACAGTACCGACCTCTGGTTACACTACAGAGCTACATTACAAATATATTGTGGTAGTAGCCCCCAAACAGACATAAAAATTGATGTCATAGAATTGAGCACCCGTAACTATAAGCCCACACCTAATAGCTGCCTGCAGGTATCAAAAAATACGTTGAAGAACAGCTTCTTCAACAAACGTTGCCAGGAGAACTGAATATGTTATGCCCGATTTGAGAGACCCTAAAAAGACCACCAGGAGTTGAGTCCATT